AATTAAACCGTTTTGCTCCAAATCTTTTGGCCAAACAAATCACAGCTGAGCACACAGGCGGCGGAATAGGAAACGGGGGAACATGCATAACAGGAGCAGCATCGTTATATCGATGGCTTTCACATGTTTAGCACACAAACGAAATGCCAGAGCAAAAATATGCATACAAATCTATCTGTGCGCATTGGATAGCCAAAATCGAGTCCAGTTTCGGGGGATTCCCGTTCGGCGGAGGGCGGAGGACGGAGGCGCTTGGCACTTGGACCGGAGTCCTGAACTCGAATCTGAATCTGATTCCGAATCTGTCGACTGCTCCACATTTTGTTGTGCATGGCAAACATTGCGATGGAGTGTGTGATGTGATGTGTGGTATCGTACATTGTCTATATGGGTCTCGGGCCACTCCTTGCCGACTCCCCGACTCACCGCACCCAGCACATGGCTGCTGTCCCAATCAATTGTCCAAATGTCCAAACTTCATTTGTTATGCGCATCACAAAAATTGAAGCAAATCATTTTGCCAATCGCATTTTGATTTCAAATGTCGCTTGCTGCTGATTGAGTGGCGAGCGGTGGGTGGTGGTTGGGTGGGTGGACGACGGCTCATGGGCGGTTCAGGCTTAGATGGGGATGATGGGTCAGCCGCCCCACAGTTTATGCTAATTCCTGTGTATATTTGCCGCCAGCGGCGCCTGAAATTATGCAATGTCTTTATTAATTTATCTCAAAACCAAATGGTATCCACATTCACACATTCCAAGCATAGCGATGAGATCGTGACACGGCCAATAATAAGCTACAAAAACAGGCAATAGAAGGAAACTAAAGGTGAATTAAAATTATGTACATAGATTATTATTATACAAAAAATCTATGGCAAAGATATCTTTTTTTTTAATTTACAAATACGGATAGTAACAGAACTACTATTTCAAGTAGTAACTTGTATTTGGATGATTTTATAGTTAAACTACTAGAAAATAGTAAGTTTTGTGTATTTTCTTTTTTAATATGAGCCTACTAAGTTATTCAACTTTTAAGAATGTTATAATTTTCCGAATATGGGAAACAATTTTTTTATTTTAAAATTTAAATTAGCACTTTTTTCCAAATAATATTTCTCTTTAAGCAAGAGGTTTCTAAACCAAAATAAAGAAAAGGTTTACCTACAAGTACATTCTTAAAGTATGCATTTCATATTGCTATGAAAAGCCCTCTCTTTTAGTGCAATTGATCTCAATACTAATTACACATGATATGGAATTGCGATTCAGTAAGTAATTTACCAGGTTTATCGTAATAAAATCTACTCGCCTAGTATTACACAATTTTAATCACGTTCCCATCTCTATAGTCCGCAGAGGCCTGCGGAGGATTTATTTTCGTCAGGGCCTTACATTTTGGTCCCGGCTATTTATGCAGTGTTTAACTTGGCCCGCGGCTCCTGCTCCGGCAGCTCCCACTTCCGCCTCCTGCCCACTCCACCCTTCCCTTCTCGTGGGCGACACATTGCCGCGAGGGCGTGGCACTTTCACGCCCCAGTCGCGTAACTCATTTTCGCTCGCCAGACGAGCAAGAAATGTGCAGGGAAATGGGAAAAAGGGAAAGAAAGTTTCTTTTGCCGCCACTTGGCACATTCTTAATTTCTTGCGTATTTTGTCAAGACAAATTGAATTTTTATGAGCGCCGCCGTCGCCGTCGTCTTTTGCGAAATGCAAAAGAAATCGCAAAAGTCGCCGACGACGCAGCAGAAACTTTAAACTTTTCTCATCTTGTGAAATTCATTTTATCACAAGTAATTACTTTGTAAATATCCGGAGGGGCGGGAGCAGCTGCAGGCGGCACCTGCTGTCTGCTGGCCATTTGAAGGGGAACATGGTAGACTTTTGGGTTTCATCGATGATCTCAGGCTATCTCCAATCACCAAACAAAATCAAAAGACATTCGAGTGCGCTTTCGAGCAGTTTACAGGATGTTTAATGCAACTTGCCATTGGGTCCGTCAAACCGCGGCAATGATTTGCACGTAGAAAACATAGTAGAGGTTCTTAATGGGTAAACGTCGAAAGCAGAAGCGATGGCCCGTGGGCGCCGCTGCTGGGCATCCTGCATCCAGCTTAGTCGAACAGACCGAAGCCCATGTCATCGTCCTCCTCCTCGGACTCGGACTCGACCTTCTTGGCCTCCTCCTTCTTGTCGGCAGCTCCGCCGGCGGCGGGGGCAGCCGTGGCCGATGCAGCGGCCGCGAACTTGCTGGGGTCCTTGATGTACTCCTTGATGGTGGTGGCCTCCTTGAACTCCACATCGGTGGTGGCAGCAATAGCCAGCAGGTTCTTGAATCCGTTGGCAATGCTGTGCGGGGCCGAGGCGATGGTCGGGTAGCCCACAGACAAACAGACGGCGGCCAGGTTGGCCACTCCCTGTTGGAACTTGGCGCGCAGATCCTCGGGCTTGATGTCCAGGATCTCGGGCGAGAAGATCGAGCCAGAGTCGTACACCTGGTTGACGATCAGACCGTACGAGAAGGGCGAGATGTTCAACATGTTGAGCAGCGTGGCCTCGGAGGCGCCGACCTTGTCGCCGGGCTTCAGGATGGGCACGTCGTTGATGATTTCAATTGTTCCCTTGGAGATCTTGGTCGGGATGGACAGGGCCTGGAAGAAACTGGTCTTCTCGGGTCCCAAGCCAGTGTTCTGGGCCGGGATGATGACGTGCAGGGGGGCAATGGCGCCGGGACGGGCGGGGGCGCGCACCTTGGACTCCAGCAGCTTGTCGCGCACCTCGGCGAGATCGCCCTTGGTGAACACGAAGCCCACGTTGCCCTTGATGTGGGGCAGCAGCTTCTCCAGCTGCGGGTTGTTCTCCAGATGCCCGCGGATGGCCTTGCGCATCATGGTGTTCTTGCCCATCAGCACGACGGCCAGACCACGCAGGCTGGTACGGATGTTCTGCATCTGCTTGGAGCCCACGTTGTCGGCGCCCACAATGAAGCACTTGGGGAACTCGTCGAAGAGTTCCTGGAGAAGGGATTAACCAGGATTAGTTGGGCGACCCTAGGGCGAGGCGGGGGCGGTACTTACCACAACCTTGATGAAGTACTGAGCCTTCCATGCTGCCTTGTTCTCCCTAACCATTTTGATTGTGTATTAGGGACTCGTCGGGTGAATTTAAGAACTGCAAGAGACGACATTTCGATTAGCCGTTACCAGGGGACAACAAGGAAGTAGTTTTTGGCCGAATACGCTTGGGATTCAGCAGTATTTCGGATTTTTAGCAGCACTTACCAAAGCACAGACTTTTCGGTTTTCGCTCACAGAACGGAAAGAGAGTAAGTTGGTGGCGGAAACAACACACCACCCAGCGTGCTGTTGCTCACAGTGTGCTGTTAAGCGCACTACCTCGGTGCTGTTGTGGGCACTGTCAAAGTGAAAATAGCCTTTTCACACTTGTGCGATTTATTCACATAGAGGGGGTTTTGCTTCAGCGACTTTTTCTTCCATAAAGGCGCCATCTGTGTCGGCAACTCTAACCGCTCAGCTGTGGCCGGCAGTAAATTATCGATTTGCATCGATACGAACGACATCAATTTCAGCTTGTGTTGTTATTAATCAGCGAATGGAATCTCTTAAATAACACATACAAAAAAAAAGTCCCGGTACCCTGCACCAATAATCTGGGCGAGAAATCTACCGCTGCTGTGCTGGCCAAAGATCTCAACCGGAGCAAGGAGAACTCCATTTCATCACAATGGGCAAAGATTACTACAAGATTTTGGGCATCGAGAGGAATGCGTCCAGTGAGGACGTCAAGAAGGGCTACCGCCGGATGGCGCTCCGTTACCATCCGGACAAGAACGACCATCCCCAGGCCGAGGAGCAGTTCAAGGAGGTGGTGGCCGCCTTCGAAGTCCTTTCCGACAAAGAAAAGCGGCACATTTACGACCAGTTCGGCGAGGAGGGCCTGCGAATCGGTGACGAACCGGCGACCTTTGCCCAGCCCACGTCCGACATGCTACCCTTCATGTGCGCCGTCGGCGGGACCGTGCTGTTCGCCTTCGCCGCCTACAAGACCTTCCAGTTCTTCAACCGGAAAAAGGAACCGGCCACCAACAGCGATGGATCCACGTCGGACTGAGTTTACGACTTCTTGATTAGGAAATAATCTATGTAAAAGAATCTTTTAAGGAACAACGCTGTAATAGCTTTAAAGTTCACTTGTAGTGATTAGTTGTACAGACCTAACTTATGTTACTTTTTGATATTATTAGTCCTATTAATTAAACGTCCAACAACTGCACAGCATTACATATATTGTTAATAAACATTTAAAAAAAATATCGCATACATTGGTCGACCTGAAAGGTGCTTTGTGTTTTATATGTGAGTTTCTCATCGCACAATTAGACATAACACTGCAGTACCATTCATCGCTCTTTAGGCAGTAAATTACTGCAGAAAGATCACCACCTTCTTAGCACTATAATTTTAAAGAGAGACATTGTGAGGGGAAGAATCGGTAAGAGCATTGTCTCTGCCGGCGTCGCAGTCTACTGCTGATGATGATGATTTTTGTCCAGTTCTGAATTTTGAAAGTGTAGGGAATTTACTTTAATGTTCAAACGGCTTGATAGTCTTTCTAGATAGATAATATTAAGAACTACGGCTATCGTTAAGGAATAAGTTTAAGCAACCAACAACATCGACTGTGCATATCAAGAAATCTTTTACTAAAATGTATTTTGATTCCATTGCATTTATGCACATATTAAGTAATAGTAATATTTGGCTGCGACGATATAGATTCGCTGTGCTTTAAAATATTACATAGGTAAAAATGAACAAATAGCATTTTTTTGACTTAAAAAATGTATTGGTACACCAAAGTGTCCATTTTCCGTTGGTTGGAAACTAATACCCGTTTCTTTAGTCGAATTTATAAAATAGCTAACATGACAACACTATTGGTCGATTGTAAGTACTGCATTAAATTACCGATAACATACAATACATATGCAAAGATTAAAAGTTTAGCGCCCCGAAGTATCGAGTGCGTACGGGCTTAATATATGAGTTTAAGAATTTATCAAATCGAATTTATTAAAAGACTATACTTTTAATCGAATCTAAGACTTATCGATTGGAGAGTTTCAATTTGGAACATATTAATTGGGACTTCCCACAATTTCGAGATCACACGATCTAATCGAAGGTAAATAATTCCGCACATGCACACGCCCATATGTATTTATAGTACTTTCCAGAGCACGCTCACAATGAGTGACATTGGCCAAGATCCCTACGACGTTTTGGAATTGCCCAGAAACGCCACGGAAGATGAGATAAAAGAAGCATTTCGTAAGTTGTCCCTGCTATGGCATCCGGACAAAAACCCCAATGGAACGGAGCAGTTTCGTGAGATCTACAAAGCTACCAAGCAGCTCTGATGGCCGCCAAAAACCGTGCATCCTACGATTCCTTCATTTTACAAACAAGAGACCCCGGGATTCTCAGTACCGTCAAAAACTATAATGTATCTGGTAAACTGGTTAGATTGGCTAAGACATGGTTCCCAATGCCCTCCGCACCCGATGCAGGATATTTTCACGGAAAGCTTAAAATGGCTGTATTTATCGGAGGCGTGGCTGTGGGGGCCTATGTGACCTATAGAATAATGCAAAGATCTCCTCCGTCGATCCCGATCCCAGTTACAGTTCCAGTTCCTGAGGCAGTTGTTCCAGTTGTTGTTAGTGAAATCCACCCCGCCTCCTTGTGGACATTGGTCTCTTGGCTAGCCGCTTTAAGATCCAAGAGTATGTTACGTCTTGCCAGATTGACTTCAGGATCAAGTATTCGACTGCCCTCTAAGGCTCTGAATGGCTCTCTATCTTCTGCTGCCGACGCCGTTGCCAACACAGTAACTCAAGGTCCCCGAGCCGTGACTTCTGCGATTTCCAGCTCGTCCTTAACTTCTGCAGCCAACGTTGTGGCCAAAACAGTAACCCAAGGACCCCAAGCCGTGACTTCTGCGGTTTCCAGTTCGTCTTTAACTTCTGCGGCCAGCGTTGTTGCTAAATCTTTACCACCGGAACCGCAAATTGCATTGAATTCTGCTGCGGAAGTAGTGGCCAAAACTTTAACCCAGGGATCACAAGCTTCCAAAACAGTTGTTGCAGAAACGTTAAAACAGGGGTCATCCTCAGGTTATTCCTCTGCTGCCGACGATCTAACTAAGAAAACTGCCAAAGGATTTTTCAAATACTGGAAATGGACCACACTTTCCTTTGGAAAGGGCTCTGCTGCTGTAAGCCCGGCCCTAACAAACTTCAAAACATCATTAGTTAAGGGTGCCACCAACGGTTGGAAATGGACTGAACCCAAAATCCAGTCCATTAGATCAAACTTGGGAAGGACATCACAAACATCCATCACTGGCATAGTTCATGGTTCCAGTTCGGTTGTGTCTTCTGCCGCAAGAAGTTCCGCCAAAGTCATAGAGAAAGGAACATTGAAGGCGTACAGTTTATGGCGACTTAGTTTGGCTCCTGTAATATCTTCAAGCTCATCCTCCATTTCGACAGCTTCTAGGGCTTTTACTGAAGTTATTAAGAAACCATTCACATCTAAACCCATTTCTCACAAAACACAGACAGCAACACCAATGCCTGAACCTAGCCCGAGTCCAACGAGTTCTGCGGAACCTTTAAAAAACCTACCAAAGACTCCACAGTTGGTTCCAGTTTACAAATTAATCATTGTGCTAGCTCCATTATGTATTGCCGCCGCTTGTGTGCCATACTATATGCAATATTATTTATTTTCACCACCAAAACCAGAACCCAAAAAAGGAATCGGATATTACTCTCCTGCCAAAGATGTAATGAAAACTACTTATAGAGGAGTTAGCAACACCGTAAGTCCGATCATAACGGGAACTACAAAAGTTGTAGTTAAAGGAGTAACCTCTGGTTGGAATTGGACATCCCACTCTTTTACGAACACTGTAAAGCCGGCCTTAACTGATTCAACAAGCACTGCATTAAATGGTGTAACCACTAGCTGGAACTGGACTGCGTCAAAAGCTGGTTCGTATCTGGTGTCTCCGCTAAAGAATATTTATAAATTTACTTTGGACAGGGTAGTACCACCAAAGTCATAATATAGGATATTCCTCAAAAAAAAAGTTCTATGGTTGGCATGGATCTTACTAAAGGCAAAATAAAAAAATCACATATTTTTCCTAAAAATAAAGATTATTCGGGATGCAATTGCGTTTTTACGGTTGGGTGAAAATTAGATGTCGACAACACAATGTAAAGGCAAAAAAAATGAAATTTCGTTGTACATTTTCTTTTAAACATAATTTTTTTAATCAAAGTAACAATAAAGTATTAAGTATTCCTCTTTGTTGTAGGTACCTTAGAAAGGATCGGGAAATTTATTTCAAAATACTACGAAGCAGAAAACTTTAAACGCTACTATAAGTGTTTTCCGGAAAATGGTTTGTGATGGACACAGTTCCGGTTGCTTTCCTATTTCTTTCTTCATATAAAAAGATAAAATATCTGGCATGTGTACAACTTTTTAAAGCTTAATTTCCTAAAAATTTAAACTAAGTTCCCAGACCTATTTCAAGACTCACTACGAAATGAACTGCACGGATTCAAATTTTATCTGTTCTAACTCTGTTAACCCCCGACAAATTCTCAAAAAACTTTCCACCACTTTCTTGCGGATTTAAATTCGCCAACACGAAAACGAATTGTTTAAAAATGCTGTGCGATAAAAATGAAATTTTTAACAAATTCCTTTATGTTTAACGTTTACTAGTTTACTAAAGAAAACACATTTTCTAGCCTTATTAAAGCTCCAATTTACACTGGTGTCACCCATAAAAAAATTTCCAAGGAACCTGCTTTAGAATTTGCGAAAAAAAAAGGTTTCCTAAATTGTCGTTGTATAAAAAAACCATATCCTACAACCCAAACGTTTGTCAAGTAAATAGATGTACCTAAGGAAATATCACTTTTTGTGATCGGACTCTAATTTACGGAGTTGTTTGCCATAGAAGTAACAAAAATTAAATTTTTTTAGCTTTTCTTTAATAGTTAGTTTTCATTTGATATTTAGTACAGATGGCGTCACGCAATACAATAAAGGTGTCCCCTAGCTGTTGAATTTTTATCAGCTGTTTGGAGGGACTAGAAAACTGGCTTCACCGCAATTTTTAAAATAGGTTCAGACGTTCTAAACATTTTACCACGATCGTCTGTTAAATTTTTTACAATGCAATTTTAAAGTTAGCTATTTTAACGTAGCTATCCGAGACAGCACTGGTGTCTATCGATAACGCGTGACGGAAAGCACCATCGATAGCCTCCGCTCGGACGTGGTTTTTCCCATTTGGCAATGCACCAAATTCGCGGATGTGATGAGAGCTCCCTGTTTCCTGGAAATAAACAAACGAAGTGGTTCGAGTCCGCCGGAGATACCTTGCATGTGGATCCAGCCAAGTAGCTAGAGGAAGTCAGCGCCTACCCGCAGTTCCGGGATCGAGGGATCTCCGACTGGTCAGACATTGGTGAGTTTGAGACCCGGATGTGATAAGGGGTTTTGGGGGCGGGGGAGTGTACTGATTACTGCGCATTACGTTGGTCGAACCACTCTAAAAGATCGTCTTTCACAGAACAAACAACCAAGAAGCAAGCGAACGCCATGTCGACGCCGCGAAATTCCGCTGAGCAAGCGGATTTGGCGGTCTTGGTGGGCAGCAACAACAACAATGGCAGCCGCAGCAGAAGCGCTGGTACTCCCAGGAAATACGCCACTGCCGGAGCTCCGAGCTCCATCAGAATGTGCCCCGCCAGCAATATGAACAACAACCAGAGCAACAAACAGCTAAACTCGATTTGCCAGCGAGCGCAGGCGGGCCACAAGCTGATGATAATCATGCGCGGTCCTCCGGGCAGTGGGAAGTCCACTCTGGCCGGATCCCTGCTGCGCCAAGCCCACCTGCTCGAGCGACACAAGGTGCACGACTTCGTCTTCAGCTCAGACGACTACTTCTGGACGCGCCGTGGGTACGATTTCAATCCCACCCTGCTCCCAGCCGCCCACGAGTGGAACCAGCGGCGAGTGCGCGAGAAGGCCGCCTGTGGCTGGAGCCCCATCATCGTGGACAACACCAACACGATGGTGTGGGAGATGCTGCCCTACGTTCAGTCCGCCGTGCGTCACGGCTACGTCATTGAGCTGCTCGAGCCGCAGACCAGTTGGTGCAAGTCAGCCAGCAAGCTGGCCCAGAAGAATGCTCACAACGTACCACGGGAAAGCATCCAGCGTATGCTGGAGCGCTACGAACGCACTACTGCAGGAGATCTCATCAAGGTAACATTCTTATGGTATTGCATGGTGACCACTATTCCCCGAAGCAAAATATACATCTATTACAATAAATGTAAATATAAATTGAATTAAGAAATTATAATGAAGATTCGATTTTCCAACAGTTGATGAAGGATACAAAGTACTCGGTGGACCTTCCGCAACTGCGCCAGCATCCGCCTCTTCCCTCTGTCCCGGTCATCACATCATTTGAGGAGAGCAAGACATTGGAAGGTTCAGCCCCAGCGCCACCAGATAACACCTTCAAGCTGAATGCCAATGCCCAAACGTGGGTACCCTTCGAACAAGGAGCGCCGTCGTACTGGTCCCAGACAGCGGATTCCGCAGATTCAGGAGTCTCGGAGGTTCCGGCAGCTCTGGGTGTTCCGGACGCTCCGGCTGCTCAAGGTTCACCAAAGTCCGAAGTCTCCCTGATCGATCTTCTTCGCGACGAGAGCAAGACAGAGGAGGAAACATCGAAAGGGGAGTCCAGTAAGGCAAAGCAGTTTCAGAGGCACTGCTTAGACTGTCGAAATGAACCGGGAGGATTTGCACTTCTGCGACAGATGTATCCCAACAAACAGCTGACGGGCCTCTGGGATCTCTTTGTCAAGTGCCAGGCTGACGTGGACTGGGCTGTCGATATTTTGTTGAAGGAGGACGAGCTTAACGCTGCCACAGGATCCGATCAGTTCGGATTGGAGGAAACCGTGAATTCCGAGGAGGCGTCACAGTTTCAATGCGACTGCGATAAGTCGGTGGGGAGCCAAGAATCTCCAGTTGGCACTCCTCTTTCCTCGTCGCCAACCCCGCCAGCATCTAAAACCGCTCCTAAGCCGCAACGACAACCACGAAACAAAAGAATTTCGGCCCCCACCAACAAAGAATTGCAACTGCAAATCCAGAATTGCTTTGTTTTAGGTGAGATATTCATATATTGATACAATAGAATAGATGATGAGAAATTATAACTTGTCAATAGCTGAACAAGTAATTTACTAATTGAAAATTGACATTACATATAATATTACAATTTCAGGCGACGAACAATACTCAGAGCACACGCGTAAAATCCGCGACATCCGTAATGGAGTCCTGGATCAACCTATCGTGCCCAAGATTCCAGATGCGCACGAAGCGGTGGATCCGGAAGAGCCGGAGGAGGACGACCCGGAAGACAATACTCTGCTGGAAATGGATTTGGGAGGCACTCTTATTGAGCAGCTGCGCGCCCAGTTCCACACGGACGACGAGATGTTGCCGCCGGAGCAGGTGTTGCCCACCACCACAAAAATATTTGTGCCGCGTCAGCTGGCCAAGCAGCTTTACATGCTGTGGATGGAGGCAGTGTACAACCAGCTGGAAGAACAGCGCCAGAAGACAATGCGTGATGACGAGCAGTTCGCTCGATTGCTGAAGCATCCGGGCTACGCCGATTGCAGCGAGTCCCCGAGCAATGTGGGTGAGCTGCTGGATATGGAGCTGGCCTGGACCATATACAACAGCGAGAAGATGGCCGCCAAGCAGGCCGCCGAGTTGGCGACTCGCAAGCAACCGCCCAACGACATCGCCACACACTTGACCAAGATGAAATTGTGCGAGACGTTCCCCGAAATCCCCACCGACACTGTTCTCGAGATCTTTGCGGCCACTGGCAGCAACTACGGCCAAACCGTCGAGGTCTTGGACAGCAATGTTCAGAGCGCCCTGAGCGAAGCAGAACTTTATGAAAAGGCTCTACGAGAGGGTGAAAAACTTAGTGCAGAAGTAGCGTTGGAAGAGCAGAAACAACAACACCAAAAACAAATGCAACAGAACTCCTCTGGCCAAGGCCAGCGTTCCAGCTCCAGCTCTTCCACCACTAGTAGATCGCCCCTGCTGCATGAAGAGGCCAAGTGTGCTGCTCTCCGTGACTTTGAGGAGACACGAAACATGGCCGCCCATCACTCCCAGCTTAAAGCCGAATGCTACCTGAAGGCCAAACAGGCGGTGCAGCGCGGAAATGGTAGCGTAGCGCTTTACTACTCTGAGATAGCAAACTTGCATAAGCAGAAGATTGACGTCTTCAACCAGAGGGCAGCCAACTGTATCATGGAAGTGCATCGGCACACCCAGAACAATCCGGATCTGCTAGACCTGCATTACCTGCATACGGTAGAAGCTATCAGCTGCCTGGATCTATTTCTCGACCGGCACATTACCGTGCTACGCAACTCCACTCGCGTCTACAAGCACGTGTTCATCATCACGGGCCGTGGGCTGCACAGCGTCAATGGAGTATCCACAATTAAAAACAGGGTCAAGTCCAGGTTGGGCGAGCGACGTTTGCGGTGAGTGGGGAAACCACATTTGTATAAAGGTCAGCTAATTCATTTGTTATTTCAGATGGCAGGAGGTCAACCCAGGGTTGCTGCGTGTCAAGGTGTTCTCCGCATCGCGGCATTCAAAGAATTTTTGATTGGAAGCGAACTGCACAGCGGATCGTAGTGGGTTTCAAACTGCCATATAGGACCAAAGGCAACGAACAGATAACCTGGATTACTACCTCATCGGTTATTTGACTTTGTATCACTGCTTACAAAATTTTGAAGTTAAATCCTGACCGCTGTATTACTTTCGAATGTGTTCTATAAACTATGAAACATTCCCCATTTTATTACTTAATATTACTTGAAATGCTCGTCCCTATTATTTTTTTTAAGTTTTCGTTATGCTTCCAAATTAGAATTCGCAATCAACTCTCCAATGTGGTGCTCCAGTATCTTCCAATAAGATATATTCACAAAAATACTTATTTTTATACTATTTTACACAAACTATCGCTAAGGCATAATACTTATAAGTAAAATACTCCTAGCCCTAAGGTACACGTTGTCCAAAAAAATTACCATTAAATTCAGTTTGGTAAGCAGCTATGATGAGTGTTTCTTCACCAGCCGGTATAATACTGCTTATGCGGTTCGGCTCAGTTATAAGAGGCTTAGAAAGAGACAAGAGACATATATGACACTTACTGGGATTTGTTTGCCTAAGACGACATGATCACTTTAGAATTTGAACTTTACATTAAGCATTAAAACTCAAAAAACTTTTGAAAAGCTTTTATAATGAACTTCTAAATAGGTATACCTTTGTCGGCCACTAAAAGTGTGTTTTGTATAACACGACTTCAAAATATTTTGGTGCTGAGCAAAGCTTAAAAATGTTTTTAATTTCATATCCGCCAGTAATTACTTCAAAAGCCCTTTGAGTTTTTTTCTCTGGCCGCAGGGGCTGGATAAATCAAGCAAAAAGCATATAATTAGTTTTCATACTTAGTACTTTTTAGTTTCAATTTTGCTCAGAAAACTTTCGTTCAACTTAGTGCCGAATCGAGGTATTTTAAAATACAAGGAGTGCCTATCGGCCTTAACAATCAATTCATCAATTAATTGCTTACTAGAGCTTACATATGTCTGCCTTGCTCGCACTTTAGTAATATTGTATAGTCTGAGAAGAAATTGCTCTAATGAATGAGCAGAACAATGCCTTGGAATAACCGAATATCCGCTATAGGAGATAGAGGTCAAGTCCAATAGTAGAACAACTTTTAATTTCTGTGTTTGCGGGTGCGAATTTTAATTTGCAAGCCAGTACGATACATTTACTTTAGGGCACATTTTTTAAAGAACAAAAAATTCGAAGGCTCTTTTCTAGTTAAAATGTGACGAAATGTATTTCTTCAATTCTTGGAAATAACGCATCCTACAAACAGTTTTATGAATATTCCATTATTGTTTTATAAGCAGCCATGGCTCAGGTACCGCGGACTAGCCTCCCTTCTGGCTACCTGCACCACCTGCCCAGCAATTTCAACCAAACTTTGGGTTAATGTTTGAAACATGGAAAGACAATCTTTATTTACCACTACAAAAACTTCTGGCCTGACATCGGAAAATGTAGGGAACGTAGCTAAGGTGAAGGATCAGCCGAGGATACACACAGGGTGTACACCTGCTGGCCGCTGGGAAAGTACCACGCAGTCAGTTTAATCGTAACTTAGTCTAAATCATCGATGGCAGTCTGAGCGAGGGCTCCATGGCTTTGGTTGGGGTGGGGTTGGCGGCGGTCACTAGGTGGGGTCCTTAGGCGGCGATGGCGACTGCAGGTCGGAGACTCGCGCTCCCGGCGACTGATTTTCCTTGCCACCGTGCAGCCGGTTGCCGATGGCCATCAGCTCGATGAGATTTGCGCGGCCGCGTTTGGGTGTAAAGCGGGAACTGCCGGAGTTGGCAGCCTTCTCGCGAGGCGGAGTGCTCAGAAAGACGCCCTCGAAGATCGTCTCCAAGCTGTTGGAGTCGTCGCCGTCGCTGGGCGGACTAATCTGGGCGTTGATTTCGTGCAGGGCGACGTACTGGGGGTCGTGCTGGCGGGAGGGCTCCTCATCGTCCGCAGGGAGCTGTTCCCTCAGCGGCTGCTTGGGCGTCTCGATGTCCGACAGGTTGAGGTCGTCGATGGGCGAGGGGGTGCGTCCGTGGGGCGAAAAGGCGCGGATCTCGAAGGCCGGCAGCTCGTCGCAGCTGCCATCCGGGGACTGCTCCTCGCGGTCGAAGGCCAGCGAAAGGTCGCTCTCGCTTTCCATGTCCATGGAGGACACCGAGCACTGCAGGCGCAAGGAGCTGTTCAGCTGGTCTCCCTCCGCACACGTATTCACCGCTTCCGAAGTTTCCATGGTCTGGCTGGTCTCTGCAGGGCAGCTATTGCTTATATACATCACTGGGTTACGCTGAACGTTCTGTCTGCCTGCGTCCGCGGCTGTCTTCGCAGAAATCTGCTTCCGCAGGTAACTAGTGTTTGGGATCAAACCCTGTCCTTTTGCCGCCAGTCCAAAAAATTTAAATCTCAACAATACAATTCAAGCCGTCACTTTGCTAGGGATGGGAGACAGCCGCGCTACCTAAAAGGGGTCGTTCCCTGTGAATGGCAATCGGGAGTGATCCGATAGTTGCGAGAAAGTAGCTAGTACTCAAAGCCGTACTAGCTATTTTCCCGCTTGTCGAAATTTAGAATCCCGAGTTAGGAGGACTTGTTCTTTTTTAATAGGATGTTTTGGGTAACATTTGTAAAATAAAAAAAACTCGACACCATTCTCCTGACTAAAAACGGCATACAACGCCATATCCTGTCTAGAAACCAATACATTAAAACATTTTTATCTTCAAAAATGACTGTTGTCAAGTGTATGTCCTTCTCCTCACAAAAGTTGATATCAGAACTTTTGTACGTTAAAATTGATATCGTCATTTTTTTTAGAAGATATTTTTGTTTCATATATTGGGAACTGATACACAATAATCAACAAATTTTGCTTTTCAATAACAATATGCAAATTATTATATGTATCTGGGTAAAAGTAAGAGTGATCAATAAGAATAGTCGTTGATAACGAAATTAAACTTACCTGAAACGTGTCTATGAATTACAGTCGTGAAAGGGAATGGAATTCGATTTTTACACTTAACACCAGAGAATGGCTAAGAGTAAATAGTAAGTATTACTTCAAAGAGATTCTTTAAATTTACAGTTTTGGAAGGTTTCCCACCTATTGTTTACAAATTCTTGTTATTCCCAGGAGATCATCAAAATCGATTGATCATTTTAATTAAAACACAAATTCAAAACAAAATGTTCTTTCATAACTTTAATTCGAATCTGTCTTTTGTTGGTTTCGTTTACGCTTAGCTCGTATTTGCTCGTTAAACAAGTTAATTAGTGAAACTATCGTACTTCGTCGTTAAAAGACATAAATTGTGATATATACGATATAGCATGTACTTGAGTTTATACATCGATTTTTAGTACTCCATTTCGCTAATTCTGTTGCATTCCGTAAAGTGCAATTAAACATTTATCTATCTTAAGTAAGTTTCGATGCGCAAGCTTTTAGCTGCCCACTCAACACAATTGTTGCTCTGTCATAAAAACAATTAATCCATAAATTATTTAACAAATAGTTCAAAGCGTATTTGAAAGTATACATTAAGTACAGTAGTTTAGTGTTTGTTTACCTATAATTAAATTACATTTAAATACAAATCGTTAAAGTAATGCCTAGAAAACATATTTTGTTTCTTGGAAGTTTAGCTTACTTGCTTACATATTTTGAGCGCAGATTTAATTTAACTAACACCATTTTTTCCATACACGTAGGGTGAAACACGAATGTTGCCACAAATCTTGTGCCTAAATATTTAATTTTATTTTATTAAATTCAATTTGATGCGTTTCTCGTTTGGGATGTTAATTAGCTTGTGTATATATAATGTATCGTTTTTATGGTTATGTAATTCTTTACTATGTAATTTTAATGTTTCTTTATTGGGCGTGTATGGCTGGAGGGATGTCTCCTCATTTGAAACCCAGCACAACCCCTTTCAGTATGAGTATTGAACAGTTTTTCCAGTTTACATTTATTTAAGTGTGCCTGAACTTTCCCTTTTGGCTCATTAGTTTTCCCCAGCATGATTGATTAAACTTGAAACGATTTAAGCAGCAATAACTGGTATAACTTATGCAACTGAAACGATAAAATTTAAATAATATTATACATGTTGCTAATTTAATTGAAGGGTCCCACATCTAAAAATAGAATTTCGAGATGATCGAATTTAAAGTTTTTAAAAACCATATGTCTTCCAACGAAGCGGTAAAACGTTTAAATACCATTTCTGCATTATTACCTCAAAAATGTTTAAAATAAACAATATTAATTATCATAATATAATATCAAAAGATTTACCAAAACGTCTTTCACTTTTGTGAAATTGGACCAACTCAATTTCAAGGCAAATTAAAATTATGCGCTAGAGAAGTTCGGTTTGGTTTCCTTATCGAAAGTTCAGCACTTGGGCCCAACCATCTACTGAGATCTTTGATGAACGGTTAAACCAATATTTAAGTTTGGCACAAACTCTGAGTAATGCTCTCCCGCTCGAACCTTGGCCCCCTCCCACTGCCCAGGTCCGCGGCCCTACCCCCCACCCCCGCCAGCCTGCCTCAGTTTAGGCCCAGCAGCCTCTTGAAGGCCCGCCTATAGTCCAGGTTGAAAATGGTGTAGATGACCGGGTTCAGGCCGGAGTTGATGTAGCCCAGCCAGGTGATGAAGTTCTTGAACTTATTCGTAGGGCAGCAGCTCTGGCAGAAGGGCAGGATGACGTACATGAGGAAGAAGGGCAGCCAGCAGATGACGAACACGCCCATGATGATGCCCAGGGTGCGGGCTGCCCGCCGCTCCTTGGACAGCGAGATCTTCTGCTTCTCCTCGATGAACTGGTTCACGCCGCTCGGTTTCTTCTGCAGCGGAGTGGCGGAAACGGCGGCGGCTCCCGTCGAGGACTGCGGCGGCGTGAGTTTAAGGGACGTCTGCTCGTCCGCCTGAGTCACACAGACCTAGAATCAAGGTATCAGGAAATCAAGGTAGAATACAAAATGAATTATAAGACAAGAAGGACCGCTACACCAGTTTACAAAACATCGGTTCCCTGATTAAGACAAAATCCCGCACAATTTTGTATAACAATAATATTTGCTTCGACAGGCTTAGATTCCTTTTTGACGGAGACGACAATCTAATAATTCGTACAACCCACCATTAAAAATATTTGTTTTGAGTAAGCTGCAGAAAAGTGTTATAAACTATAATTACTGCTGTAATGCGAATGTGAAGTTCCGTTCAACAAAACCAATCTTTTAAAACTCTTTAAATCGAATTCTGCATAAACTTTGACCATACCCGGCTTGATTTATTTGCAGGTTATCAAGTTTTTACGATATCTTCGACAAATTCGAAAAATTCAATTTTGAATTTTTGTTAAACGCTTGCTCCTGCGTTGTTTGACTAATCAAATTGATCTGTATGGCAAAGTTAAAAGCTAATCTATTGACGTTGAAATGAGACAAAAAATGGTATACTTGGGGGATATAAGTCAAGTAAAAAAAGAAAAACAAAAATTCCATGACCCAACACTTAAAAAAAATGTGCCATCAAAAAAAAGATAGTGACATTTGTATGAACCATGGTCCACCACTAACAGAATTTGCCATCAATTGCTTGGGAGCGTATTATTAATTTAATTTTGTAAGGTAGTGTTAATAAAAAAAATTCTAGACGACTATTAAATAAAGATTAGATTGGCTAATAATAAGTATTAAATATACATTTATATATATATAATACAAAATATGGTTGTTCACCTGCTTCCCTTTAAGCATAATTTTGTCCCCCGGATCAGGGTTAAAGATAAAATATAAAAACCGTTCTTACACTTAGAATAAGTGCCAAGGGAGTAAGTAGTCAAGATGGACAAGGTCATAGGGAAACTGGTGTAATGGTCAGCTTGTTGCTGAGTTATCTTTGCGATTCTCAGACTGTCTTACCTGTATGCAACCCTTGGGGTCGCTCCCGCTCTCCGTGCTGATTTCCGCGTCGGACTTTGCACCGCCGGAGTGTCCTCCGCCAGCACGGCAGCTTCCTCCGGCGGGCAGGAGCTGCTGTTCGCCGTGGGGCTCGCAGGTGGACGAGGACTGCGACTTGCGACCGCCCCGGGCCTTGCCGTGCTTGATCGAGTCCTTGATCTTGGCCCGCCGCGACTTCTTGACCAGCACGACCACGTGCTGCTGCTGCTGCGTATCGCTGTTGCTCTGGGCTCCCGCCTTGGAGCCATCCTGCTTCTGCTGCGGCTGGTGGGTCTCGCTGCTGATGCTCTCCTGGTCGTTCTGGATCATGGGCGTGGCGAACTGGGGCCGATCCCTGCCGCAGCACAGCCAGCTGGCCAGGAGGCGAGACTTGGAGCCGGAGGTGGAGGCGGCGGCGGGTGAGGAGTTGGCCATCGGCTCCAGCTCGGCGGACTTCAGCGCCATTGTGTTGAGCTTGTTGGCTTTGGCCCGCTCCCGCAGGCGCCGCCGCGTGGCCACGAAGATTTCGATGTAGACGATCGTCATGATGGCCAGCGGAATGAAGAAGGAGCCCAGCGAGGAGTAGATGACATAGCCGCGCTGCGAGGTCAGCTCGCAGGGCGTGGCGCTGGTGAACTCGTCCGGCCAGTCGTTCCAGCCGATCAGTGGCGGACTGCTGATCAGCAACGAGAGCAGCCACACCCCGGAGATGAGCAGCAGGACCCGGCCCACGGTCCGCTTCTGGGCGTAGTTAATAGGGTCCGTGATGGCCCAGTAGCGGTCCAGGGCAATGGCGCACAGATTCAGGATGGAGCTGGTGCAGCACAGGACGTCGCAGGTGAGCCACAGCTTGCACAGGTGGATGCCGAACTCCCAGCGCCCCAGGATCGAGTAGGCCACGTTGAAGGGCAGCACCAGGAGAGCCACCGTGAGATCGGCCACCGCCAGCGACACTATGAAGAAGTTCTGGACGATGCGCAGCGGCTTGTAGGTGAACACACTCAGGATCACCAGGATGTTCCCGATGATAGTCAGCACGATGATGACCGAGAGCACCAGGGCGGTCAGCAAGGCCTGTAAAAAATTTAAAGATATATAAATGAAGTAATTTATTTCCAAGTTGGGGTGCAGGCTGTGCAATTTGTAGAAGATCAGAGTTATCAACAAGTTTAAAGTTTTGTGTCTAAGACAAGACGTACCAAGGGTCTCTACTCTAAAACATTCGTTACCCTAGGACCAATTTCAAAATACATTTATACAGCGAGATGGATATGCAAGTAGCAAAGCGACTGTTCCCAGGATTGCACACTTTATTTGCTTGTAACTTTTTAATAAATGGTCCAATTTGAATAAATGCTGGCATGTTAATGGATATTAATAACCAAAACGACATCTCATTTCAATTTTTACAAAAATTAAAAATAAAATGTGGGTGCTGACGGGTTTTAGCGTTATAGGCGTTAGAGTGGGCGTGGCACCCTGCTGAAATAGACATGTGCTGCGCAAGAAACTCTAGAATATGAATGCCAAACTTTCTAGCTTTTATAGTTTCCGAGATCCTAACGTTCACACGGACGGACAGACAGACGGACATGGCTAGATCGACTCGGCTAGGGATCTTGATCAAGAATACTTTATAGGGTCTACGAGTGCGGTTATAAGGACCGCAATGGATAGGATACTTAAGGATACTTAAACTGAATATTTTTCTATTTGTTTTTTTTCATTACTGTTTTTATTAACTTTAAATATGGAAATACTAAATCATAGATCAAATATTTTAGACATTGATTTAATGACAGAAAATATTTAAAGTTAATACGAATAACATCATATGAAATATTTTATGACTAGATTCAAATTTGTTCAAATTATATCAAGCAGTTTAATACGATTTGTATAAAATGTTACGTTCTTGTATTTAGTTCAAATATATAATACCAAACTTTAAATTGAACATCCAGATAATTACTTTTATTCTTCGATGGTTTTTTCAGTGCATCATTATTATTACCTCCCACTCCGGCACCGCCAATTGGAGACCCAGGACGCTGGCGTGCAGCTCCTCCACGGCTCCGCCGCAATCTCCCACGGAGTCCGCATCCGCCGGAGCCGTACTCAGTGCCGCCGCCACGGTGGTCAGGCCCTCCACCAGGGAACCGGTTATGTTGGCCGCCGTCTCCGCTTCCATGCCCGCGTCCGCATCCGTATACGGCCGTACGGCATCGCCGCTTCCGGATTTTGTGGTGCTCACGGCGGCTGCAGCGGTTAGAGCCGCCGCCGCCACCGTTGTGGTGACATTCACAAACAGGATCTGATCTGCCGATGGCATTTTGGCATCGCCTGCCCGCCGCTTCCACTTGCTCCTCTTGGGCTCCGATTACGTCAGCATGCGTCTCGGTTGAATGGCGGACGGAATGTGCGGTGCGTGGCTCCCTTCTGCGGAGACAAATGTGGAGGAGAACAGGATTAATGTGGCTGCATCGCTTCGGTTTGCGGGAAATGTCTTGGGAATTTTTTGGATTACGTATAAATGGTAAAAGCGTTTATAATTTTATAGCCTCGCAGAGGCCATAATATCTTGAGAGTAAAGGTTGCATCGCAGTAAAGGAGGTTGTGAATATAAGTCGAGTGAATGGAAAATATAGTCTTAGGATGAGCTGACATAATAGGGAAAAGGAACATTTAGATGCACTTAAAAGCAATCATGAGTGGACTGCAAAGCTTGTATTATATTAAAAGAAAGAACGAATATAAAAGCATGGAATTGTTACTTTAAAAACGAGTACTCTTTATCTTTAAACTAAGATCCTAAGTATGAATATACATAGTTCACGCAGGATCAGTTTAAAAAGGAAGGGGTTTCATCGATTGTTGTTATACTTCCTTCCCAAACCTTGTTGCGGAAAAAGTTTTGCCGCAAGAGTCAAGTAAATTGCATTGTGGAACCTCAGCACAAGGCAATCAGGATCATGTCGAATCCAAATTATTTACAGCTTGTCAATAAACAGACACAAAGGACATTCGAATGATGGGACGGACTTGCCGAGAAAAACTCAATGGCAGGCCGGGAAAAAGGTAAGGTAGCCCTTATGTCAGGCCTGAAAAAACTCGGCCAGAAGGCCATTAACAATTTATATGACAAATCTTGTCGCATTATCTCCGCTTGGGATAAAATATTTAAAACTAATTAAAAATGTCAGGCCAGAACGGCTCGAGACGGATGGCCCTAAGGAAATGGCTCCAAGATATTAAGGGATTTCGTGGACAATGAACGCGGAGTCCTTTCACTTGTCTTCCTCAATCAATAGACTCCACCCACCTCCCACTTTATAATCATCGAATAATTGTTGCACTGCTCTTTCTCTTGACACATCTATATCCGCTAAGCCCTTGCCAACTTTACTGAGTTTTGCACTCGGGCTCTTTTTCTACGCCGAACATGCCTGATAGCAGTTGAAAGAACATTAATCAAAATAACCCGCTCATAAACTGAACTCTCCAGCGGAGCCCAGAAAATGGGGAAAGGAAGGAACAACTTTGAAGCAAACATTTTCATTCAGCAAAAATTGTTTTGCGTTTTTTCGCTCCACGGGCGGCTGAAGTGGGGTCGGGCTGCCAGATTGCTAATGCCCCTGAATCCCACCTTGATTTCTGTCTGCAGGAGTAAAGCTTTTAGTCGGGAAATGGGAAATGTATTTTCGGTTTTTTTCAACCTCTACAAATAGGCGGGTACAAAGTTTTAAGCGATTTTTAGTCGGTTGGTCTGCCATATTTGAACACGACTTGAGTTCAGGACAGACTAAGACAATCTCGGCAACAGAGTCACAAAAATAAACGAAAATAGTTCATAAAACTGTGGTAAGTTTTATAAAGGCACTAAATCACTTTAATAAGACAATTTAAGATAATAAAGATAAACTTTGGGGGTAAATTTATTAAATTAGTTGATAGCTTTTGTATAGAATACATGATTATATTCTTAATAGTCGAACTTACTATCATATTTAATAAATAAATAAATTATTAATACAGAGAATTTAACATATTATATTGCTTGTATAAATTACAAATTAAGGCTCATTTTCATACTTATTCTTACTTTCAGTATCCATTAAAAAAAAAGAATTTTATTGATAAGCTGATTTTCAGCCGATAAAAATCCTCATAGAAAAGGAACTATTTTTACATTAATTCTACACTATTGAGTATCGATTTGGCGTCTATAAAGTAAGTATTAAATTAATAATACATTGAAATTAATTGTGAGTTCAAAACATTACATTAATTATTCTTTAATCTATTCTTCAATTTAAATACGGCCTGTGGTATAATTAACATTTCCGTTTTTTGGGTGAACGCGACATAATTGAATTGGAGGAATATTAAAACTGGTGGCGTGAGGAGGGGACTTCTACTGTTTGTTTCTGGCCTGTCCTGGCCGCCGGGCGATAAGCTTATTACAAAAGCTCCTGATTAAGGAACCAGCGCCCAAAAGCAGTCGAGGAATCGTGTTTGTGTTCGCGTGAGTGTGAATGAACAGCTTTGGATAGTTTGTCCCTGACTTGAGTTCAGTTGGGTTCGTTTGGGGAACGGGGAAAAGTTTTTTGAACTCGTTATGCAGTCTCCCGCTAGGGAAGCGAAGTGACCTTGACTGAACGGGGTTCCATATACACATAGCTGAATACATTCGTAAAAGCAGGCTTCTGCCCACATGGACACGTCCTTTTTGGCAAACTTGTCATTAGCATTTGTGTGCTTGCATCTGGGAATGTGAGAAGCTAGTGTGCCAAAGTTTGGCGACCTTATTTTTATGGGTACATCGAATGAAGGGCTTAAAGTCTTTCCCTTACGGTGTCTAAGATATTGCACTCCACAACTAGTGAAAGAGTATACACACTTCGTTGGCGGCATCAGAGGTCCATTGTTTTCCTCAATTTTACGCCGTGTCATGCTCATTAAATATGCAAGAGTTCCGGCATATCTGCAAGATACACGCATCCTCGACATCAAACCCACCCGAAAAGCCACCCACAGAGCCTTATTTATAGCCCACATTAGGCACTTGGCCAGCTAAAAATACTGGAGGTCGAATAGCCTTTGATGCTGATCAAGCTTGCCGCACAGAACGAAAAAGATACTAATAAAGTATATTCACAGGCACATGCATCTTGGGGAATTTCTTTTAATTGGCTTTGATGGGTGTGAGCGCCACGCCCCTTCTATACACCTCAACACCCCGCCCCTCATTTCATTTGCATGATTAATGTGGCGTACAACAATTCCAAGAGGCACACAAGTAAAATTTCATCGTTGAAATACAGAGAACCTAAGAGAATTACGAAATTCATAACAAACAAAATGAAGGCAATGAAAATGCTTTGCTTTGATTTCGCGGCGAGCTGTTTGAGAAGCGAGAATTTTAAATATTTTACGCGTAATTAAAACGGGTGAAATTGATTGGAAATTATGAAATGTTTTCGTGCCTAAGTAAACATGATTGGGCCCAAAGGAATGTTGGGTCAGAAAAGTGGGGTGGTGGTGGTTTCTCTGCGGTTTCCCTCCCACTCGTTCACCGCTTTTCCACTTTCTGGGGCAATAAAAGGCCGCTGATCGCCGCCCAGTTGACAACTGGCCAACCTGTAGATAAGGCTCCAATTTCCACCTGCGTTCATTTACTGTCCTTGCAGTTTCACCCCTTACGAGGGCTGCACTTGAAAAAATAGGGTAGGAATATTTAGTCTTGAAATAAATCCACAAGTAGATAATGGAATTAAGTTTCAAATTTTATACCTTGCTAAAATAAAATTGCACTGCTCAAAAATCTCTAGAATCTGCATGCCTTATCCCAACTTTCTATGTGTTATGTTTTCCAAGGTCTCAGCGTTTATAAGGTCGGACTGACACGGCTAGTTCGACTCGGATAGTGATATGGATCAAGAATATATATACGATGGAAACGAAAATAATATACCCTTTTCGTCTACGAGTATATGTGGGTGTAAGTAAAGCTTTTCCTACGAAGTATTACCTTAGAGTAAGACTTTTCTTAAATATATTTATATCTTAATCTTTGCCATTCGTTTGTTCAGTGTATGAGTCCATACTAAACCGAACTGAACTAGGCCTAAATGAAAGTCGACCTGTAGTCAATAAAACGCAATTCGAGTCGAGTTGAGTTAGGCTCGTGAATGGAAAAGCGTGGGCGGTATGGCCAGCTGCAGGGCCTTATCCACTTATGGCAGGCTCTGCGGTCCATTCAGGACACTCAGGCACTGCCAGGAGCCACCCACCCACTTCCAGCCCGCTTTCATGCAGTTTTGCGCTTCTATTGCGCGACTATCGATACAGTTTTGGGCTAAAAATTGGATTAAGTGGGACACTCTTACACTGGGACTCTGCCTGGGTCGCTTTGCCTCCGCCGGGCTGAGTGAAACATTTAACAACATTCAGAGTGCGCTGAGCACTAAATCCGTTCACAAGTGGCGGGCTTAATGCATTTTAAAGAATCGGAAGAGCAGCCATACATTCAACCACGGACAGGTTGCAAATTTGCTTACATGTTGGTGTGGCGTTCTGTTTGGCTTGTGGATCTCGATTCTTCTTGGGTGTCCTCTCCGTTTTTCCGCTTTTCCCGTCTTTGTTGCTGGCTGCTGCATGTGCCATGTGGGAAATTCCCTCGCCCGATGCCGTTTTTCCTTCTTTTTGTTTGGCAATGACAAGAACACGCTGATGTGTAAAGCAATTGGTCGGGGACGGAGACGGGCCGTGAGATAAAGGCATGTTCGGAATCGGGACTGCTTCCCAAATGAGCAGCAGATTGATGAAGCAGAAAATATTCCCCGTAAAGTAATGAGCGCTGCTGCTGCCAGCCGGCTGATTGAACGGAGATGGGACATACAAATTGGGGGAGATTTGTTCTGGTTTTCATTAACTTTTCATTGACTTCATTAAGCCAACATTTTTGATTTTGAAAACGAATTACATTGGTACCAGGCTTGAACTACTAAAAAATAAATTTAAAAGTTTGATTAAGTGTGCTATTCGTGTAAATCAACATTAAATTACAATTATTCTTAAAAGTTAAGTCCAAAACAATTACATTTTAAGCGAACTTATTTTTGTAATGTTACGCATTTGGTCAGATAATTTTTGGGATTGCCATTGGTGAGTACACTCAAAGAAAAAATCAAGTATTTCGTGCTTGAATGAAGTATTTTCAGGGTCTAAACTTCGCCAAGCATGGAAAATAGCTATCTCGAGAACAAAGTACAGCTTTCAAGTACGAATTTTTTGGACAGAACATACTCGATTTCAGTACGTTTTTATAATCTTTGGTTTACAATCAAGTATGAATAATTCTTAAATCTAGTCACTCTTGAACTATAAACAAGTACAATTTATTAATAAAGTAAGAAAGTTACAGGTATGATGTAA